TTTTTTTTTTTTTTTTTTTTTTTTTTTTTTTTGCATTATATCAATTGATTAACCATTTGGTGAGAAAAATATGGTCACCAGAAGCTCAAATTCTGAGAATTTATAATATTATCTTTTGAGCCCCAACAGCCATCACCTTTTTTTTGTGGGGGCTTCCTAAATGTGTATGGCAGGATAGGGATCGGCCAGTTGTCTTTTTCATTGATCCTAGAAAAATGGCGTTTCATTCATCTCTGCCAATGAAATTCAATGTTCATAATGGATTTTCTTATAAAAGCGTGCACAGGCGCCTCGGTCACACATGCACGTTTTCACGCGGCTGTACTAATAAAAGCATTGCGGTTGTTCCCTGTTTTCTTTGTTTGTAGGCTTAGATGCATTGCTGAAAAGACTGAAAGCACTTCTTTTAGCGTGGGGGGGCTTGATCAGGTGGGTTTCATAGATGGCAATGCAATAATACTCAAAAGGTAGCTTTCCTATCAGTTGCCCACACCTTTACGATATATATCGTTCATTCTGATGCTTTTCAATTTAAAAAATCATATCAACTGTTACTTAAGGCATTGATACCTATTCTGAATTATTGTTATTAATATTATACGTAGTGGTGGCAATTGGGTTGTCTAAGGCATTATCTCACTTAACCCCACACCTTTTGAGCCCCATTAACCCTCTCTTTTCAGAGGTTTCTCTTGTTTCGATGGATCTAGAAATGGTTGATCACTATTTTAACTGTCTATTTGTTGTTGGGACCCTGCCCCCTGCCCCCTGGCCCCCTGGCATCTGATGCAATGTTTTTAGGCATTACTCCCACACGTTTACTTTCTCAATGTCATTTTGACCTACTTGGGCAGTTTTATAGCCAATAAAGCTAACAACCTCTGTGGGAGAACTTTTTACTATCTCTTTTATGGTTAATATTCTTAAAAGCAAGGGATGGGTGTGGTAGAGAAAAAAATATTTCTCAAGTAGATTAAGACAATTATTGAATCCGCTTACCTCTTTTAAACTTATATGAGAGTTTTGGTCCCAGCGTTATATGTGGTTTTTGTCTGGCTTGTTAATGATTCAAAAGACGAAAAGGAGAGAACAGAGCTGGCAGAAGAGTGGTATTTGCCTGTCCAAACTTGGATGGTTGTTTGATTTAAGCTGTGCTCATGGCCACTCAATTGGTAGAGAGATCATCAGGTCGATGATAGATTGGTCACATTTTCCTTTCCTTTGAAGGTTAGTAGATCGATCAATCAACTTTTCTTATGTCTTTTTCTTTATCCTTATCTACTCAATGCCTTACCCCAGTCGTATAATCCAAAATGTTAATGATGAACTAACTCTCTTCAAATCAAAGCTTCTTTATTCATATCATTATTGCTTTTGTTTAAGGGTAAAAGAGATTCAGCAACCAATGTAGTAGTACTAGGTTCAAATTTACATCTAAATCAAATACTACAATTGTGACCATCCACTTATTCAAAAGGATAAAATTTAAGCAAATAAAACACCTCTCAAGTTACATGATAAAAAATCATTGAAAGGGCCGGAGAACAAACGTAATGTATATATTTCAAACCGGACCTTCTGGACTGAATTGGTACCTCTTTTTGTCTATATACACGTACATACCACGCACATTAATGCAGAAAAAGAGAATATGCTGAATAATTTTTAATAAAGAAATAGAATATGAACAATATGTGTCCTTTGTTGTATACGCTCTTAACATTTGAGTCTCTCCTCTTTCAATATGGAATTCTTGCAGTGAGCTATTGCTGCTTGGATTGCTGCCTGCAACTCCTCCATTGTGCTGTCGTTATTGGACGGAGGAAGTGTTGTTGTTGTAAGGAGGACACCACTATTTGTTGGAGACGTTCTCATGGAAACTGGGGCTGAGAACTCGCCTCTTCTTCCTCTCAATTCTGGCTTCTTTCTCAAACTTAAATTACCTGAAAATGAATAAGACTGTCTGTGGGGTTGCATATCATCCCTTCTCCCTCTGAAGTGTAAAAATGGCCTCACTATTCTCGCATATCTCTTCAGTACATGGCTGAAATTGAACCCGAACTTCCTTTTGAGCTGTTTCACTTTATTTTCTTGCTCTTCATCTTCATATCCCTTTCTCCACCTTAAACCAAGCAAGGAGAAAGACTTGGACTTGGCTTTTTCTCTTGTATCGCTCCTGTTGTTTTGGTAGTGTTCATCGCTGTTGCAATTGATGAAGTCGCTACTCTCTTTCTTGGGCTCCTTGTCATTTAGCAGGTCTCTAATGGGAAGGGTATAACTTTCGATGGAGTTGGTTGAGCAGCGGGGAGGGACTGGGAGATGAGAGAGGAGGTGAAGAGGAAGCAAATGGCCATGGAAAAAGATGTCATCTGCTGGAGACAAATCAATGGTGAAGGAAGGTGGGGCTTTGGCTTTGTCACTGGAGGAAGTTTGGAGAGAAACTGAGAAGGAAAATTCATGTGAAGGAGATGATGGAGGAGGAGAAGAAGAAGCTGGCAATTGTTGCTTCTCCAATTGCCTTTCTTCGCCTTCTTCTAGATTTAAGCTGCCATCTTCAAACTTTCTGCTATTGTTCTCCACACCCCTTTCTTGGATCTTAAGATGCTGATGGATGTCCATAACCAACACAGAGAGGTTTTGCTGACAGATCAATTGGTCTGCTGATTCTGAACCTGAAAATCCCAATTCAATACTTCAGTTTTAAGGACACTACCATGCCTTCAGGAAAGGATAAGAATATTAGAGGATAGAGAGAGAGGGGGAAAAAAGAAGAGGGGGGGTCTGGCGGTTTTGCCTCTCTCAACTTGCTTAAATCAAGTTCTTAATCTTTTTTTTTTTTTCTTCTTCTTGGGGGCAGCACGTGTCAAGGATTGGTGGGTCCTTGTCAAATCTTACAGCTATTGAGAGTACAGATTCGGTAAAGAAAAATCCAACAAAAACCCACAAAATTTCCCACAAAAAGCCAATAACCTTTACAATGGGGGCTACTGTTTTTGGTATTTGTTGTATTCATGGATCTTTCCTAACAAGAGTACGCCATTAGTCATTAATTAATCCCCCTTTTTCAGGAGGAAACTTCGAAGAACTCATCATATTTATAATACACTGCCGATCCTCTTTTATATGTTTTTTTTGCATGCTGTGATGCATTGAATGAGACTACTCATTCATATCTCAATAATGGGTCAGTATTTTCAAGCAATTTGGTCCCAACTTTGCATGGAAACAAAACACTTGCAATCTCTTATCTAATCATGATGAATGAATGAATTACAAAAATTAGGTAAGGTTTTAACTTTTTATTCAGAGATTTAGGCAGTTAATAATAGAAACTGATGTTTTCCTCTTGTCTGAACATTATGTTCGAGTTATTAATGTAACAGTGACATGAAAGGCCTTTTTTGCTGTCATGGTTGATGAAAAGTAGAACCATTTAAGGTGTCATCAATACACCAACCTAAGAAATTATTAAAAAATAATAATAATAATAATATATATATACATATATCAATTTTACAATAATGTATTGTAAGCAAAAACATGAAGTGTTCACTAACCAAGAGAGGATCAAGAATGAAGTGGCTTCCTTTTGCCTGTTCATCTTCAAAATAAAATGCCAAGGGTTTAGGAAAGTCATGGGGAATTTAAGATGGTAGACCCAAAACACACGTGTAGACAATGGTTTATAGCGTGGCATAGAGTAGAAGAATTGTCTATATCTCAATCATAGAGCCATTATTTTTGGGTGGACTCACTCATCCCATCTTTCAAAACCATATTCTTTATTTTAAAACAGAGAGAAAAAGAAGGATGCAAGAAATATGGCAAAAAAAACAAAGATTTCGTACTCAAAAACCCACAATGAGAACGATTGGTCATGTGGAGAAACTTTTTCCCACTTTTCTGCTTTTGCCATTAGCCA